TAAGCTGTGAGATGGTTTGGCTATTGCGGCTCCTTGAAGAGCTGAGTGTCAGATGCCGAGTTCCGATGCGAATCTATGGATATAATACTAGTACGATACAGATTGCCATCAATCCTGTATTGCATGATAGGACTAAACATATAGAGGTACACGTGCATTATATTCGGCAGCTGGTTGCAGAGGTTACAATACAGGTTGGTCATCTGTCTACAGAAGATCAGACTGCAGATCTCTTGACTAAAGTAATGGCATCGGGCAGACATTGGTACTTATCTTCCAAATTGATGTTGCGCACCTAACATCAATTTGAGGGTGGGTGTTAATTTATAATTCAAGTACCATTATGTAATTATGCAGCTGACTTGTACTTAGGGTTTGTTCTATCAAACCAAACATATAAATATGTACAGCCGAACCCAGTAGTGACTAACGTGAATAAGAAAGACTTTGGAGAGCTCTGCCTCCCCCGTGGACTAGTCCTATTCTCAGGGAAACCACGTTAAATCGTTGTGTTCTTTATTTCCATTCATAGATTTGATTGTGGCATCACTAGCATCAAGCAAGCAAGTCAAAGGAGCTAATGTCGTATTGCAACATCTCATCATCTTTGATGAGTATATCCCAGGAGTAAGAAAGGGAGAATATATGACATGCCTTTCTATCCTCTCCTACACATGTTCCTTGAACACACCCTATTCCATAGACCTAAATAATTAGGCTTTGTGTACTATGACGAGCTATCAATCTATCAAGCCATCTTCTCCAATAAAATGACTCATTCTGGATGGGTAGTGGCAACTACTCTAAGACTGTTAGAGAATGGGATATTATGAAAAGAAAAGTTCATCAAGGCCACCAAATCCCACTATGATCAACTTTGACATCCTAGCGAGGTATGGCATAAATATGGCCGCCAACTCATGCAATTTTGAAGGAGAGTAGAAGTCCTCTGGATGTTCGCCAATTCATGCAAACCCTATCAAGAACAAGTCCAAAACAATGGAGGACACACCCTCCAAGAAGAAGGAATAAAGATCTGTCTCTACCAATGACAAGATGGAAAAGAAGTTGAGTGAAGACTCTGGGACTCCTAAAGCAACTGGTGAAGGCTCAAGAAGGGATCAATGGTGCTATAACTCAATGCACCCAATGAACTACAACGCTGAATGCTAAGATAGAAACGGAGTTCCAACAAAGGAGGATGTGGTAAGCTGATATCATGACTATACTCGAGCCTTTGCACAGAGCACCATCACGCCTACAACCAAAAGACAATGAAGAGGAAGAAGAGATTGTGTACATCAAGACATAAGGGCGTAGAAGAGATCTAGTTGTCGATTGTTTTGTTTTCTTTATTTTCACTTTAGATGTACGAGGATCACCTCAAATCAATAAAGAAGTTTTGTTAGGCCTGAAGTCCCTTTGAACAACGATCGAGGTAACTCGTTCCTACCCTACCATAGCTCACAATCTTTTATTCAATTAAGGACGATGTCAATTTTAAAGTATTGGGTGGGAATGGTTGAAAACCTTTACCTTGCCCTATTCAATATTGCTACACCCTTAGTTGTTCGAAAATTTTCAATGCTACAATAGTTGTGACTGTGATATGTGCTTAACCATTTTTGAAAGAACTAAAAATGTTCATCCATAAAAATAATTTAGCCATCCCCTACAAGCATGATCACTTCTCATCTTAGTTTATATCATTGAGTCTAGTTATCATCACTCGACATAGGGAGGCTAGTATAGTGACTATGAGAGAAGTGATAGTCAATGAGATGCAATGACAATTTGATGTGTTTAAATGTCATATTATGTGATCTATTCAAAGATTTCTAATCATGCAAAAACAATCTTCTGCTTTCAGAGGTTTTAAAAGTGTGAACTGTATCTTTAGAAAAATGAAAACCTACCAATCAAGACATAATTTCACTAAAAAAATTGCCTTGGTATTTTTAAAAATAAAAGGAGGGTAAGCCCAACATGTGAAGCATCTTTTCATTGCACTAAATCGAGGTTTAGAAGATATACTAGTTGAGCTTTAGTGGGGTAGTCCTACAAGGTGATACTAGTTCCTCTCTAGTACAAGTAAAATTTGCACCCATTGAATTGATTGCCAAGTTAATGATGATTTATTAAGTATACAAATAGAGCTTCCAAAACCCCTTAATTTCATTGACAATCCGCACGAGTTGAGGAAAAGAAAGTTCTAAGTTCTCACTCGACCAATAAGAGAAAGTTCAAAAGAGCTCTCCACCATGAGAAAAATCAGAAAAAGAAGAAAATGGTTTGTTGAATGAAAAAGAAAATTCAAAAAGAGGAGAAAGGGATTGAATTCGAAGAAGGAAATGTGCTTTAAAAGAGATTTTGAGTTGAGTCGATGGTAGAAAGCATTCAAAGTTCAAAAGTTTATCAAAAGCTTCAACCTTACGTTTTGAGACTCTGATGCATGATTAGTAGTTGAGGCCTGGATTATGTGTATGATATTCTTTCATATTGACGTGGTTATGATTCTTTCGTGCTATTTTTGACCTTGTAAGTTACTTATAATTCTCATTCATTTATGAAGTGTTTCTCTGTCTTTTTATTAAAGAGTTAAATATCGGTGTTCTTTTTGAAAATAACATATAAGAATGAGTCGGCTCATCCTACCCCGGTATTAACTATTCTAATCAACACTTAGTTTAAGGTGGGTATGGGTACTTGATAACTTGATATTTGCACATATTTTTGCCCACCATTACACTGTTTGAGGTTCGATTCTCGTGTTTTAAGCCAATTTTCACGCTAGGTTGTTCTTGTATGGTGTATTTCAGGTCTTGGATAGGCTATGCATGCTTGGAGGCAAGTTTCGGGTCAAAAGCACTAAGTGGATGAAATGAGGAACTCGAGGGCTGAAATCCCTGGTCAGTTCACCTCACCCCCCAACCGGGGAATTGCAAAGGAGACCGGGGAAGTCGTCCAAGGATATCCCAAATCTGTGACCCTTAAATCCCTGATCGGGGCTTTTTAACATGAAATCGGGGAACTGCGTTTGACGACTAATCGTTGTGCGTCCTTTTGGGCAAAACCCGGCCTGGCATCAAAATACCCGACCAGGGAATCAGGTCGACAATGCGGAAGTCAGGTTTAACGAGCTGAACACAGGAGTTTCATTCATTCAATTTTGGGAGCTAAAAACATAGATTTAGAGAGAGAAAGTGATGAAGAGAGATCCTAGAGTACCCTAGATCAATTCTCCCCACCATTGAAGCTTGATTCAAGCCTCGAGGAGTGACGATTGACAACCCGGAGTAGATTTCTTTCGTCTACACGATGATTTCTGCATTTGGCATAACTTTCCTCTCTCTCTCTCTCTCTCTCTCTCTCTCTCTCTCTCTCAATGGAGTAATCCCTTCTATCACTTGGGTATGTAAGAACCCTATATTGTATGTTAGGAAGAGTTTTATGAACCCTTTTCCGTGATTGCTTAATTGTTTTATATCCAATTGAAGTATTGATTCATAATTGCTTTAGTCTTGATCGAATTCTAGTAGTTCCTGCTTTGACCTAGAAAGATAATCTCTGCATAGGTCAATAAAACATCTTAAATTAGAGTTAGTAAATCATCGACTTTAGTCGAGAAGTCGATTCACTACTCTGTGTTGGTTTAGACCCCAGTAGCGGAAGTTTGAATCATATTGCCTAAGATAGCTTACGCCGGCGGAGGTTAGTCGCACGCCGAGTATTCAAACTGAGAGGGTCTGGAGCACTTTAGTCGAGACTCCGGACTGTTTTAGAACTTTCCACAGTTTAAGCATCAATCGAAGTGAGTTAGGTGAATTACAACTTGGTCTAATTGCGATCTAAGGCGTGACTCATACCTGATTGAGCCTTCTTAATCTGAATACAATCGTTACTTGCTTTTTGTTTGCTTTTGCTTTTGATAAATTTCACTGCTAGATAATAGAAGTTCACGGAGTAGACATTAAATCTAGGAATCCGTTTGACATTTAAAACTGAACCCACTATACTGCATTTCCATACTGCGATTATACTTGGTCGTAATTTGGTGTTGTGTTTTAGTGAGTCAGTACTGAGGTACTCGCTTAGTCCCATTGCCATCACTATATTTCGGCCATGACATACCATGGTTCAAAAAGGTGTGCTTAACCTTACGCTTAGGCACATCTAGGCGCTACGCAACACCAAAATATCTCAAGCCTAGGGGTTCCGTAGCTAGTTTGGTATCGAGAATACATTGACAAAGTAAGGTGACACCTAGGTGTTTCCGAAGCATGATTAAATGGATCTAGGAAATCAATATCAAAGGGCCAACTAACTACATGTACGAACTCAATCTTTCAATATAACTAAAAAACTTTGTGAGCTACTGAGATATGATTGTATGAATTTGCGAGTTATTTTACTTGTTATTAAATAATATATTGTACATATGGCTATTATTTTTGCTTCAAACACCTCGACACGTTTAGACAATGCCTAAATTAGCTAGGCACTAAAAAAGTCCCCAACTCCGGACTTACCTTGTCGCCTTCTTGAACATTAGACATAGACCTATCTACCAGCTCTATGAACATCATAATATAGCAATTAGCAAAAATATTATTCACTAATAACCGTTTCACTTTTCAAAAGTAAAAAAGAGATTACTACATGATTAAAGAAATCAGAACAAAGACAATCATCTTAATTGAATTTTATTCCTCTTACACTAAGCAGAAAATCTAAAACAATGGTAGCAATTCGAAAAACCCTCTCATAACTCTAGCATTACACTAGTAAATGAAGGAAGCCATGAAGGATGTTCTTGCATTTTTTTACTCAAGATGCATCCTTTTTCCCCTTTCCATGCCCTAAGGTCAATTGCTAAGCCTACAGAGATGACCCTCCCATGGTAAAAAAGTTTTTGTATATAATGTATCTATTTTAAACACACTCTTCGAGTAACGAATTATATATAGTTTACCATAATATTATCTAACACATTTTTTTCTTCACAAATCATCATTCTGAACGGTCTGAGGTATAAGGTTATGACAGTGTCGATCACATGGATAAGGGCAGTCGATTAACTTGGTTACATTCATGCCAAAATACCAGTCACCAACAGCCTCCGCTATTGTCTGCGCAAAACCCAATCAACCTCGCAAATGTTACCTTCATTCTACTAAAATATTTAATATGGTGTAAAAAAAACAAAAAAATGAATAAGATTTGTGAACCTTGTTGTGTATTGTGGGCGAGTCAAGAGTAAGCCATGTGGGTTGCAACTCACTCTGACAATGCGAGAAGCATGAGTTTATGAACATCCCGTCTCTACTTGAACCTCTGTAAACAAATAGCGTTGCTCGCAACATCTCTCGCCTGAATCCTGATTTTTTAGAATGAACTACAGCTCTTTACATAACATTTTTGCAATTCACATGGTTAAAGATTCCCTTGATAACAATGACTTTATTATGGATAAAGTGTTATGTCATGGCAAATTTTCACCTATCATATATATATATGAAGAAGAACAAAATTTAAATATCACATGTATAATATAATTTCATCTCAACCGTAATTATTCCCAAATTGTAATCAATACAACATATTAGTTTTCATTTTGATAATAAATCGTTTGTATAAACGAATCAAGTACGCGATTTCATTTAAACATCTTTCAACCACTCCAATCATTGTGGCAAGTGGTTTGCTCCTCCATATCAATCTATGGTGGTGAATCAATCTGGTGAATGGATGCATGCATGGGAAAAGCAAACTGACCTTGCAAGAGGTTAATCTGAGCAGTGTTGCACTCTGACAATTGGGTCTTGCAATTGTTCCAGAGTCCCTGCACATCCGCAGAAGGCGGGACCAATATGTGGTTTATCTGCATATATATTTGTACATGCCCATTTTTTGTTACAGCTCAAGCTGACTTCCCGATTCGAGGACTAAGATTGTCCTTGAGGAATGGGATTTCATAATTTACTGGAGATGAGATTTACCTGGTACACGTCATAAGCTGAATTCAAGAGGAAGAACGGTGCTGTGATGTATCTCAGAGCGTACTGCGGGAAGAAGCACTAACAGCCACGACGACAAAAAAATAATCAAACAGCAGGAAACAATTAGAATTTAATTACCAGAAAAAAAAATCATGTTAATCTTTCTGTAATAACAGTTTAAGCAACCAAAACAAGAAATATTACCAGCTTGGGGTTGGCGAGGGAAGCTTTGCAGTCCTCATTCAGATTCTTCTCTGACCCGTGAAGCGTGACCAGATCCTCGTAGAAGGTCCTCATGGTATAATTTGAAGATATGTCTTTCCTGTAGAGAAATAAAATTATCGTTGTTTACCAATAAAAAAAATCAATTTGTACCACATCGATAAACTATAAGAGAATTAATGGATTTATAAGACCAACTCAACATTAATAATTAAAAGATCTAGCTAGGCCTTGTTGAGTTGGATTTTTGGGCCCAAGTGGCCAAAACCCTTCTTCGCCATCCAAAAACTAAGTCTTGGAAACAAGGCGACATAAAGGGGTGCCTAACGGCCGGGTACCAAATAGGAGGTCATCCAAAAATTAAGTCTTGGAAACAAGCCACCAGGGCTGGCTTGGTATCAAGGAGTGTCAAGTTGATTACATGGACTTGGTGGTATGCCAGAAGGTATCAAGCCTTAGTAATAACCAACAAGTTAATGAGGACTTGGTGTCATGAGGTGGTATCGGTCTCAGGAGCGGGGAGTCATCAAGCAGTCGAGGGTGAGATCAAGACCTCATCATGGTTCATGGAGGCGACAAGGACCCCTAGGCGGTTTGGAGCAAGGGGCCAGCTAGCAGTTACCAAGGCAGTTACAAGAAATGGCTATAAATAGAAGAAACGAAGAAGAAGCAAAGGTTAATGAGGACTTGGTGTCATGAGGTGGTAGCGGTCTCAGGAGCGGGGAGTCATCAAGCAGTCGAGGGTGAGATCAAGATCTCATCATGGTTCATGGAGGCGACAAGGACCCCTAGGCGGTTTGGAGCAAGGGGCCAGCTAGCAGTTACCAAGGCAGTTACAAGAAATGGCTATAAATAGAAGAAACGAAGAAGAAGCAAAGGTTCCACAACCAAACATTTGACAACACATGTCAAACTCTATCTTTTTCTCTACCATGTAACCATAGTCAGGGGCGGAGGGAGAAGGTTAGAGGGTGGGTCCCGGGACCCACCCTGGTTCGGGAGGAAAAATAATAAATTAGGTATAATAGTAAATCGGCTATGAAAAATAACACGTATTTAAATGAGAATAGTTGATCTTTCAAATATTTGATGAATGATATAAGTTGTGTATTGACATATACAATGTTTTTATAACGAGTTATGTACAAATGATAATGATGCATATGATCCACCCAAAATTAAAGATGTATTTGTTTAATATCTCGAACAAATTTTCACCAAATCATAGCTAATTTATAAAAATATTTTTTTTTCAATCAGGGGTAGAGAGAGTGTAATGGCTCCTAAGGACAAAAATGAGTAAAATAGTATAATATTTAATTGAGAATGAAATTTAAGACACTTCTAACCTAGAATGGTTGACCGAGAGATCATGTGTTCGAATTTTGGCGACCCCATTTGTAAAGCACATGATATTCGGATTTGCTAAAAATTTAAGCACGTATTAGTTGGTTTTCGTTAGCGGGAAAGTGGTAGTAACTGGTCTTGAGGAAAAACATTGTTAAATAGTATAATTCTATTATTAAATCTTTCACAAAAACTTGAGTTATTGGTACTAAATGGTCTTGACGAAGAACACCATTCAAAAGCAAATGTCTAACTAAATCATTAATAATTGGTTGATATATATATATAGAGTGATATTCTTGAGAGTTTCGACCTATAATTAATTTACCAAATTTTTTTCAATACAAAAGTATATCATGAATTATTTAAAATGCTAACAAAATTATTTTATCGTATTTTTTTCTAAATGGACCCACCCTTGACAAAATCCTGGCTACGCCCCTGACCATAGTTGTAGCTTTTTGTTTTTGGAGCTCTCAGTGAACCTCCATAGGAGTAGAAGTAATTTAACTTAGTTTTATCAGCCATCAAAATCATCAAACATCCTCGTTCGAACATTGTTTGGAGATGTGTGAACCGTGGTATTAATCGTTGTTCAAGAAGTCAAAGGTGCATTCATTGTGTTCAAACACAAGTTTTTCCTCACCGGAAAACAATCGTACTCTGTTTGTCCGTTTTCGTTTTTGCATGTGTATGAATCATACATATATATGCAATATATGCAGAGTGAATTAATGGTATAGTGCTTACGCGTCCAGGAAGAATCCAGCGTCACTCAGGCATTTTACCGTGGCGTTGGGTAACTTCCTGGAGAAATCATCGCAGTGGTGAAAAACTGACAATCCGCCAGCAGAGCAACCGGAAAGCAGTGCCTACAGATCAGGAGGGACGAGCGGTCGGACCGTAAAAAAGGGGTAAAAACTACAGTGAGTGAGAGCTAGTAATTATTTTGGCCTGGGTAGATTTTTTTTATTAATTACCTTGCTCGCGTCGGCCAGGCCTTTGGGGAGGAGATCGGTGATGATGGCATCCCAAATCCTCTGCCCTCTGAAGTAAATAACCGATGACTGGTAATTCAGGCAAAATGATTGAGAAGTAAGAACGTTGATTATGGTAATTGTTAATTACAGAGATAGTAAAGAGTCAATTAAGTAGTGTTAGTTACCTCGTTGCGAAACTGGGAATCTCCTGTGAAGGAGGCTCCGTCGCAGTATCTAAGCTTCACCCGGTTCCAATTGTAAAAGTCTGATGATAATTAAGCCAACAAAAAAAGATGCGTTACTACATTAATTAAGGCGTAATTACTTTGTTCATAGTTGACTGTTTGACCCATGTTGCACTCCAATTTGATGTTTCTTGTTAATTAATTGATTTGTTTATTCCAATCATTGGTTCATATTTTTCTTTACATGTTATTGAATGGGGTTTGTAGGGGAAATGAGAAGTTGAGTTCACCTCTTGGTTCAAAGTTAAGACCTCCAAATTATAATTCAATAATGATGTTGTTAGACTAAACATTTGTTGGTGTTTTCCCATTTTTTTTTTTTTGGGTATATGGAGAGAATCTAGGAATTTCATATCAAAGGATTTCTCTCCAAGGGGGTTTTTTGTTTTTAGCGTGATGCGCATTTAAAACGTATTAGAGCTTGAGATAAATTTTAACAAAAGAGAGCCCCAGATAAATTTATTTTCATATTGTTGAATAAATAGAATGAGGACTGCAAAACCTCGCCATCCCCAAGCTGGTAAATTGCATGTATAGGGTGATTTGTTTATGGTTTTGTTAAAAAAAAGTGATTTGTTTATGGAATTTGTTTGATGGATTTGGTATTCAAATTTCAAGCACCATGAATTTGAACAACTCCATTGTTTATCGAGGTAAAATTTTTTTGGAACACATCCCTTCCTCCAAAAAATGCAACACAAATCGATAGGTCCCATGGATTTGAAATTTTTAAATCCAAATCCGTTAACTCTTCAAATTTGTATATCACACATTGTATTTGGAGTTTGATTGATGAAAGGTAAATTTACCAGACCTATGATGCAAAAAGTAATACATTCATGATAAAAAAAAACACAATTACACAAAGAATGGAAAAAATTTAAATTCATAATACAACAAATTCCTAATAATCCAAACAATTCAAAACTCAAACTCTTCACTTTGAAATTCAATAACCAAACGACGGGTAAATTAGCGATGCAAAAGAGCCAGTGCCAGAAGGTTTGGAGGAAGATGCCAGACGTTTCTGTCTGCCCTGCCGGCAATAATTTTCCCTTCTGATAAAGTCTTGTGAATATATTTTTTGGCATTGCCGGCAAATAATCAATCACGTGAATGCACGTGACAAAAGTATCAACAGTAGAACATTGCATGTTCGCCCCATAACAAGTACAAAAATTGGAATTCATGGCCAACTTCAAAGTTGAATTTTGAACATAAAACTATATAGGGGAGTAGTTAGGTTGCAGTTGTAAGAGACTATAGCGCCTCTAAATTTTCAAATATAGATAAAATTATATATACATTTTGTATCGATGAAAAGATTAAGAATAATTAGTAAGACTTTGGCCTTTCTTTCTCAATTGTCACAATTTAAATAAGCTTCCCTTATTTAAATTTCTGACTTCGCTACTTAAACTAAAACCTAGATAGAAATATATATTGCATAGGAAAATTGTTCACGGCTGCTTCGGCCCATTCAAATAAAATCACGATGTCATGTGATTCAATGCGCACAATTTCACAAAATTTTGTATATGTTGTATTAAATATTGATTGGAATATTGATAATTGAATCAAATTTAGTGTAGAGATAAGGGAGGTAATGTACCTGGGTTAAGAGAAACATTGTTGCTCAAGATGCCAGAAAAAACTTCTTGCTTGTTCATCAGCGTGGTGGATCCCCGCCGTGTTCCTGCTCTGATCAGGCACGAATCCACGTCGTTGCACCACCCGCCTCCCTATATGAAAAAGGAAAACAAGCATATTCTTAATTACACACTATCATGATCAGGTTCGATGTTCTTTCCCTTTAAGGAAACACAAACACTGTAAACTATCAAGGTTGGATGTACTTTCCCTTTATAAAAAAAAAAAAGAGGAAAACATACACTCTAAACTATATTATCATGATCAAGGTTCGATGTTCTTTCCCTTTCGAAAGGCCAGGCCAACGCCAATGAAGAAGAATGCCCATTTCCAAGATTGAAGAAAAGGACTGAAAAAGAACTAACAATACAACAGATTCGATCTTTGAGAGAGCAACTTCTTCTAGTTACTGACTAAACAAGACTTTTGGATTGCGTATGGTGAAAGCGTGGGATATAAACAGAAGGGCCACCAAACTACCAAAGAGGAAAAGGCCGTTCGAGGAAAGTTATAGGTTGGCAACTGGGGTTTGTTTTTGGGTTGGGCTTTAATATTTTCTTTTATATCTTTTTCTTTTTATGTATCCTTTTTAAACTAGCTTATAATCCGACCCGTTGGTCGGAGGAGCTGAGCCGAATATTGAATTATTGGGATAACCTGTATATTCAACCATTAAGCTAAATTGGCCTAATGGTGAGTCCCGCCTAGCATATCCCTAATGATCATACCAAAGTGAATATATTGGAACATAAACAGTACATCAGAAGTTGGTACAACCATGAAGTTAGACCATTAAAAACATACCAATGAAATTGAATAGCATCGAAAAACTTCAACTTCATTATATAATTACATGAGATCAGAAAGAGAACACCATTAATTTGCTTTATAAAACTTTCATCTTGTCGTCATTGTGCTTTCTGGTTTTTGTCTGGCCATGATAAAATCTAAGGAAATCAAGAACGAACAAAACGATTTGGGATAGGAACCGCCGTTGTCGTATTCCTAGAAAATGGTGGTAAACACGGACTCACCTGCCAAACTGGTTTGGATTGAGATTTTTATCGGGTATTAGGGAACCATGTGATTATAAATTAGACTTGATCAAAACGGGCCAAAACTTAAAATTCAGCCTGTTTGACCGACCCATGCAAAATTCTAATTACTCGTTACTTTTAAACTTTCTATTTGAAAATAAAAAACAGTGAAAGAAAAGAGATGACTGCAATTCGCCATTTGCACATCACTTATTCGGGAATAAAACCATAGAAATTCAAAAGTAACTGAAAATGTTTAGGATCGTTTTAATGTTTAAAATAACCAAATAGATCTTTCTATTTAGTTTTTTACTAACAAATACCAAACGATTCCCTATAAAATACACTATAATTTTATCATTATGATATCAAATAATTATATAATATATATTAGAAATGATAAAAATTGGACTAATTGGGTTGGTCGAGGTTGAACCATTGAATAACTTTAAAATACATTATATTTTAGCCACTAAGATATAAAATAATAGCATAATATATATTATGCCAAAGAAAATAGCTTGTTTTAGAATGTCAAACCAATGATATTCATTTGTTTTACTTGATGGCCAAATCCCGCGTAGGTCATGCCCATTCAACTCTTTTATTTTCTGGTTAGCGGTTAGCCCATTAGATACCATGCATTAGTTTATTGTTAAATTTTTTATTTTTAGCAATAAAAAGAAGTATTGTTTTTTCCTTTTCATATATATTTTATCACCACGGGGAAATAAAAGGGTATAAAGAAAAAAATTGACACTCCTGGACCCGTTTAAATCCGCATGTGTACGGTAAGTTGGCCCGTTCCATAGAGGAAAGAGAAAAAAATTGACACTCCCTATTCTACCCTTCCTACAAACGCTACTGGAGCAGGGAATTTGAAATGGGGGAAGAGTTTTTTCCACCCTGCTATTATATGTTTTTAATTTAAAAGGATACAACAAATGTACTTAGTGTGATTGGTTATGATCCTTGCCTTTCTTTAAAATGGTCATGGTTTGAATCCTAGTACGTATCATTTTTAATGAATAAAAAAAAGTAATTGTGAAGACCAAAATGTCCTTCCTACTTTCACTCTCGTTGCAAAAAATTTGAAATTGGGCTCCCGTTTTTCCCAGGTTATTTGGTATTTCAAAAAATTAAATTAAATTTTTAAATATAATTCTCTTTCTTTTATTACGGATTTCCAGCGTAAAAAATTACTCATGAAAAATTACTACTACTTATAGTAGTAGTGATTTTTGTGGATTGCAGTAGTGATTTTATATATTTTTTTAGAGTTTAAATTACTATCAGTAGTGATTCTGGAATTTGCCGTAGTAATTGCTAACTTTTAGAAAGAAATGATAACTTATTCATTATTAATATTAGTCTGTAAAAAAGTGCTTGAAAATGGAAAAGGGCTACTAATAATGAATCACCAAATAAGAAAACACTACTAACGTTAGAATCACTACTACACAATTGACAATTGGTAATGGATTATGGGACTCGAGGACTGCCGCAGATCCACCGCTCCAATCCGAAGACCCGACCCCCAACAACTTCAGAGCGGAGCAGAGGACGGCGTTGCAACAATAAACCGCAAAGGAGAGAGGGAGGCACTGGCTGTGGTAGCATCACAGGGAGTTACACGCGGGAGAAGCGAAATGCCTGTCACCTACTTCCAGCCGATGCAATCTTCTCCGACGGGAAGCTTTCTCTGCTAGCGACCGCCGCCGATTCGTCGGCTCTCTCTACCAACCGGCGTAACGGATGTTGTCGACGAGGGAACGATGAGACATGCTCAACCGCGAACCCAACAACCGCTTCTCCCTACGTTTTGCTCTCTTGTTCCTCGCCGGCAAAGATGATTAGCAACGTGGCCTCCATTCTAGAACTAATCTTTGGAAATAGCAGGAGCAGTTTCGTGGTAGAGGAAGTTGTGAGAAAGAGGCTGCGGAGTGATGAGAGTGGCTGAGTGATTTTATAATTAGGGTTAGGGGATTTAATTTTGTAATTGACAAAGATAACCTCCAACTAATTATAACCCTTGAATTATTATTTAATTTAATGACTATAATGATGGTTAGTATGGTGCTAACCCTTTAAAGGGTTAGCAACTAATCTCGTTCCTTCTATGTAGGGGTAAAGCATTATTATGAATTTATGATGCAATTCACAAATCAACCAAATGAACCAATTAGTCAACACAAGAAACCAAAAGAATTAAACAAATTCACAACTCACTAGTAGTCAGCACGAGAAACCAAAATTAAATTAGAATGAACACATTTAACTGTCCTAAAAATCGTTATTTAAAACGATTATGCGAGTCGTGATTAGGAATGAGACCATAGATTGCTCGCAGTTGCTTGCACACATAATGACATGAAATTATTAACATTTGGATGTGAATTTATAGTGCCTAGTCCATAATTTTCAACTTTTAGTTCTAATAAAGACTGAAAACACCGAGATCGAAGGCGTATGACTGTACTTCTGTCAAAATTTGAATATTGGTTTCTTTTTCATATTTAATCCAAAAGAATATGTAATTTAATGTATTTTCATAAATAATTTAAAGTGTATCTGGGCGGGTAAGGTTACCTCAAACTGCAAAAGCCAATTGGTGGCTCCAGCGCCGGAACCACGGTGGAGATGATACGCAGGCAAGCTCCCGTCCAAGCAAACTGCGAAAACCCCCAATCCACTCCCCACTTTAATTCATGGAGCTCACCACAACAATGAGATACGACAACAATCATGTATATGTATAAGCATATACCGGCGCCGACATCGTCGGCGTCGCGGACCAGAGTCATCGGCACCATGAGCCTTTCGTCGTCGTCGGCTGAGCAAAATCGCGGCAGCAGGAGAAGAACCACCACGACCGTAAACGAGACCGAGTAACCATAATGAGCTAACGACAATCCCATCATCTTTACAGAATTCAATTCGGGGGGAGAGAGGTGAGCTCGTATTGGAGGAGGATTGAAAGGGGGGAAAAACAGGGGATTACTCTGTTAATGGATGTACGAGGAGGAGATAATAATAATAATAATAACATTCATGGCCATGGAATGTTATTAAATAGGAGAGCGTGAATTATTAAATGGGGAGAAAGCAAGAAAATAAATGCGTAAATGGAGTAATTAAGGCAGTAAAGCCGCGCTCAAAGTTAAACTTGGAAGCTTCGGTTTTGGTTAATGAATGGGAATTTAGGGGCAGAGTAAGTTATAAAAAAAAAAAAACAGAGTGACCCTCCAGTCCAGAAAAGGAAGAAGGGAACCCGGAAAAGGGATGAAGTGAAGGTGGAAATTGGCTTCTTCTTTTGGGTATTTGGAGCTGGGAATGGAAAAGTGGGAGCCAACTAAGATTGGGAGATGGGGGGAAAGAGACGGGAAAGGAACAGAGAGAGCTCTCTGTTTTTGTGGTGGGAGAGTAGCGTCTTCGTTTTGGCTTGGTGGAGGAAGGAAGGTCCCAACTCCACTGGCAGCCTAACTGAAAATGATGGAACAGATGAGGAATAAGATATAGGAAGGAGAAGAAGGTGGCGACGATGAAGATGATTGAGAGTTGGGAGAGAGCCAGTCTGATCTGAAAATGTGATATGCTAAATTACCAGCCAGCAGGTGTAGTGTAAGGTGGATGCTGGTGTGGTGGGTAATGGACCAATGCTGGCGGATCGTGGGCTTTGTTTTCTATCTATCCAAAAAAGGTTGACAACAAGAAGCAGTTTTGATGAAAAGTATGGCTTACTTCGTTGATTAGATTCAACAGAACTTTGTTAATGGAGGTTTTAACGAGATATTATATGACACCTACAGGGTAGATGAGTGTTTTGAACAAAATAGTTTAGATATGTTTGCGCATTTAGTTTGTAGGTTTAACTAGAAAATTCATATCAAAATGTTTACTCATAAAAAAATCAGCTTGTACCACATCGATTAATTACAAAAAATTTAATGGATTTATAACTTATAAGGCCAGCTCAACACTAATAATTAAAAGAGCGAGCTGGGCCTAGTTGGGTTGGATTTTTGGGCCTAAGTGGCCAAGTCCATTCTTCCCTACACGATGGCCGACCCGTCTCCTTGGCCCCATAGCCGTACGATGCGCTTCACCCTTGGTAGGAAATTTGGCCTCCAAAAAAGCTAAGTCTTGGAAACAAAGCGACACAACGGGGTGCCAAACGGCCGGGTACCAAGCCAGATACCAAATAGGAGGCCATCCAAAAGCTAAGTCACAGAAACAAGGCGACACAACCAAGCTTGGTACCAAATAAGGGGGCCAAAGAAGAGGGCCGACAAGACATGTATGATACCCAAGCATGAAATTTGGCCAAGTCTTGAGCCAAGAGGGTACCAAGCCGATAAGGCAGGGCTTGGTACCAAGACATGAAAAAAATGAATTTCGCTAAGTATGGAGCTAATGGGGTACCAGGTCGGCAAGACAACCTCCGTACCAAGCCAGCAAGATAGGCGACAGGGTACCATGACCCCAAGGGGGTATCACGCCGGCAAGACTGACTTGGTGGCATGAGATTCATACAAAAACTATGTCTGGATATCAAACCGACAAGACGGACATGATAGCCAGACATCAGGGTATCAAGCCAACAAGACAAGAAATTCGGTGCCAAACGGTCGGGTACCAAGCCAGGTACTAAATAGGAGGCCATCCAAAAGCTAAGTCTTGGAAACAAGTCGACACAACGGGGTGCCAAACGATCGGGAACCAAGCCTGGTACCAAATAAGGGGGCCAAAGAAGAGGGCCGGCAAGACAGGTCTGATACCCAAGCATGAAATTTGGCTAAGTCTTTAGCCAAGAGGGTACCAAGCCGGTAAGGTAGGGCTTGGTACTAAGACATGAAAAGCATTAATTTCGCTAAGTATGGAGCTAAGGGGTTACCAGGACAGCAAGGCAACCTCGGTACCAAGGCAGCAAGATAGGCTTGGCAGCCAAGCAAGGCGACAGGGTACCATGACCCCAAGGGGGTATCACGCCAGCAAGACTGACTTGGTGGCACGAGATTCATACAAAAACTATGTCTGGATATCAAACCGACAAGACGGACTTGATAGCCAGACATCAGGGTATCAAGCCAACAAGACAAGAAATTCAACTAAGGCATGGTGGCTAGCCAGGTAGCACCTTAACGGGGTACCCAACTGGTAGGGTGCAACTTACCAACTTGACGAGGCTACAAAAAACTAATTCTGGATACCAAGCCACCAGGGCTGGCTTGGTAGCAAGAGGTGTCAAGTTGATTACATGGGCTTGGTGGCATGCCAGAAGGTATCAAGCCGATGAGACGGCATGATAACAACCTACTAGTTAATGATGAGGACTTGGTGTCATGAGGTGGTAGCGGTCTCAGGAGCGGGGTGTCATCAAGCAGTCGAGGTGAGATCAAGACCTCATTATGGTTCACGGAGGCTATTGCAAGAACCTCAACCCCATCCAGTCATGACAGGGCGACAAGGCTCAACACCAACCCAACCCGGCATTGAGGCCATCAAGTACCCACCAGCCCTAAGGCGACAGTTACCATTTGGGCCACCAAGGCGGTGACAAGGGGTCCCTAATGCGGTTGGAGCAACAAGCCAGCTAGAGGTAACAAAGGCAGTTACCAAGGCATTTACACTCGATGTATATAAATAGGAGAAACGCAGACGGGAAAAAGGTTCCACAACCAAACATTTGACACCACATGTCAAACTTATCTTTTCTTTGCAATGTAGCCATAGCTGTAATTTTTAGTTTTTGGAGCTCTCACTGAACCTCCATAGGAGTAGAGTAACGTAACTTAGCTTGTTCCCAAAAAACAATAAAAAACATCAAACACCCTTGTTCGAACATTGTTCGAAGAGGAGTGAACCGTGTTATATCGTTGTTCAAGAAGTCAAATGTGCAAAATCCAATTATGTTCATCCTGATTTTCCTCTCTGGAAAACAAATTGGCACACCTGGTGGGACAATTTTTGTTTGATTTGATGGCTCTACGACTAAGAGAACAAGAAGTGATCTTTCACCTGGTTTTGTAAATGAGCTAGTGGCCAGGTTTGATCTTGTCCAATTAGCAAAAAGTGACGCCGAAAACAATGGCGAGGCAAGAGGTCAGCCATCACCGGCGCCATGTTTGGATGTAACCGCCGTCACCTTGTCTCTCCATCAATCACTGGTGGTAGAGATACAATTAATGGAGGAGCCTACGGTGGGATACACAAAACAAATTGTATCTCAAATTGATAGTTTCCATACTCGTCTAAATCGACGTTTAGATCAACTGGATGAGATATGCGAGATAAATGAAAGTAGTTGTAAGAAGTTTCGCCAAATTTTGATGAAACCAGAGTTAAGATCAAAGGTTTTGGCGAAAGATGGTGTAGATCCACCATCAAGCGTTGCTACTAGGGATACAAATGTTCTAGACTCCGGTGGCCGGACTACTCAGCCGTAAGAGAACTCATCGTCTCCGGTGAAAGGTGAACCACCTCTTCAAATTAGTGGTTATGGAAAGAATCTCACCCACGTGGAGCATTCGCTTGTGGAGGTAGTTACACAAGAAAATTTCTTGGTGTCAAGGTCATGTATGACACCTCGCAATGGGAAGAGTAGTGGAGATCCAGTCAATTTGGATCAACTACCACCACAAACTTTCCCACCCTCATTTCCACCCCTGCTTAATAGGTATGGTGGATTCAAACTACCTAGGGGACAAGAAAGAGGACATGGAAGCCTACCACCTGACAAGTTGAAGGTGAAATGTCAGGTTTGGGGGCAAGTTGACGTCAAGAAAATTAAACAAAAGGGTGTGTCCAACAGAACACCATATTTGTTGTCCAAGGATGGCACGGGGGGCATGTTATCAACCACACGCAGCGGGTTGAAATTTGTGCCCAACAAGCCACAACGAGGCCAAGCCACATGTATTTCCAGCAAGAATGGTGGTTTAGCCAAGTGTGGCAAGGGGGGCATGTCAGTAACCATGAGTAATGGCATGGGGGGCATGTCTCCAGATCCACGCAGTGGACAAGGGGGCATGTCATCAAATGTGAAGAAATGTGTGAGGGGAAATTCCAAGAGTGTGCAACCCACCCAAGCCACTCAAAAAATTTCTAAGTATGAAACTGTATTAAAGGATGGGCAAAGAAGCAAGTTCATGCTTAACAACCCTCATGGAATGCCAAACATGAATGGTAGACAATGGGGCATGAACAAGACATCCCGACATACAATAACTAGACATGGTCCGACAAATAATCAGAGATTGCTATGTGCTACGTGTAGAAGTCAGCAAGGCGTAAGGGTTGAACAATGTAAGGTTGGCCATAAGAATGGCCATCGACTCATTGAGTCCAACCACTCGTTTTCTCGACTATATGGGAAGAGTAAGCCTGGTTGGGAGAAACCAAGGCAAATAAAAACTCGTAGCCCCTTTGATGATGCTAAGGATTTGAGAATGACTAACGTACCACTTGGGACGAAGCAAACACATCAGGTTCAAAATCAACGCAACATGTCAAGTAAGGTGGCTAAAGTAGAGGATCAGGGGACCCCTTGCAAGCTCACCAAGGCATGACATGTTGAGCGGGTACCCTCCGTTGTTAAGTTGGAAAATACAAAACCAGCAGGAAAAGAGTCGCCCCCCCCCCCCCAAAAGAGGGAAGGCAAGTAGTGTATGGATGCCTGACTTTGTTTAATCCATGGATATGGCAGTGGGTGTACACCTTTGGCACGTTGGTGGGTGCCAAAGGGCATGTGTATCACTGACGTTTGTCACTCTCTTCTATATTAAAATAAATATATAAATAAAAATTAGCAAGTAAGAAAAAAGAGAAAAAAGAAGATCACAAGCCAAACATGGGTAAAAAATTTTGCAGAAGAAAAAAGTTGAGTTAGAGTTGTAACATTGGAGGTGAGGGTCTTTGCCATGACTGGTAAGGAACAAGGTCTATGGAACCCTTTACAATCTCTAGATTGATGGGTGTACCATGCTACTTACATGACATGAGTAGTTGATTGAATGTTTGGCCTGGACCCTTTATCATCCCTGCCACCCATCCAAGGAGGCCTGCTGTCATAAGAGAATGGGATGCTACATTGATCGATTAATTAATGGCAAGTATCTCAAACCTTATGTCCCTTCTCTTTGGGATGTGTGGTGTCAAGGGGTTCAATGTTAGGCTCCCACACCCTAAGACATGGCATGATACCCTCGTGATAAAGCATGGCTTGATGTAGCTAGCTATAACATGAAAAGGAAATTGAGCTAGTTAAGTTTTGTTTCCTATGTCGAGGCCTAGCAAGCTATAAAAGGCTAAGGGTGCATGGCTTTGTAATCAAAGCCAAAATTTGGCTAAGGAAGGTGATGACGAGATAAGAGTTATTTTTAGGTGGTCAAGTTGAGTTCAACAACTTAGTGCATAATTCTTATACACTAAGTTGTGGGGGCATTTGTTTACCCATAAAAAATCAGCTTGTACCACATCGATTAATTACAAGAGATTTAATGGATTTATAAGGCCAGCTCAACACTAATAATTAAAAGAGCGAGCTGGGCCTAGTTGGTTGGATTTTTGGGCCTAAGTGGCCAAGCCCATTCTTCCCTACACGATGGCCGACCCGTCTCCTTGGCTCCATAGCCGGACGATGCGCTTCACCCACCACCCTCATGAGGTGGTCAAGGGGGGTCATGTGAGCACATGGCCTTCCTACTCTCGTAATGGTGAAGTATTTTGCCATTTTGACTCAGGTGATTCGAGTACCCACCCATATGTGGCACGTGGTCTACTTTCATGCCTTAGCCATTTTTTCTCTATAGACAAGCAAAGCTACAGAGGAGATACCAAGAGCATGGAGTGAGGTCTCAAGAGGAGGGGCCAAGATTGAAGAGGGTCTACATCCAACATCAGGGTAACCGTCATAGAAGTTGAGAGGGTAACCGTCACTCCACATCAGCATAGTAGTCTTGTGGCAGTTACTTCTGGTGGCTATAAATAGGAGGTGAAGATGACAGAGAAAGGATTCGCAAAAATTACAACTGGACACCACTTGTCAAGTTTTATCCTTTTCTCTTTTACTCTACAGATTTTAGCCATAGTCGTAGTTTTTGGAGCTCTCACTGAGCCTCCATAGGAGTAGGGCTAATTTAATGTAGATTTGCCTCGTAGTTCATCAAAACATTGAACACCCTTATTTGAACTTTGTTCAAAGAGGTGTGAACTGTGTTGTTTGATTGTTTGTTTGGAAGTCAAAGGTGCAAAATCCAATTCTGTTCATCTAGTTTTTCTCGCCGGGAAAACAAATTGGCATACTTGGTGGGTTGATGGCCCCCCCGGCAAGACATGTCTGATACCCAAGCATGAAATTTGGCTAAGTCTTGAGCCAAGAGGGTGCCAAGCCAGTAAGGCAGGGCTTGGTACCAAGACATGAAAAGCATGAATTTCGTTAAGTATGGAGCTAAGGGGGTACCAAGCAAGGCAACCTCGCTACCAAGCCGGCAAGATAAGCTTGGCAGCCAAGCAAGGCGACAGGGTACCATGACCCCAAGGGGGTATCAAGCCGACAAGACTGACTTGGTGGCTAGAGATTCATTCAAAAACTAAGTCTGAATATCAAACCGAGAAGACAGACTTGATAGCCAGACATCAAGGTATCAAGCCAACAAGACAAGAAATTCGACGAAGGCATGGTGGCTAGCCAGGTAGCACCTTAACGGGGTACCCAACCGGCAGGGTGCAACTTACCAACTTGACGAGGCTACAAAAAACTAAGTATGGATACCAAGCCACCAGGGCTGGCTTGGTAGCAAGGGGTGTCAAGTTGATTACATGGGCTTGGTGGCATGCCAGAAGGTATCAAGCCGATGAGACGGCTTGATAACAACCAACAAGTTAATGATGAGGACTTGGTGTCATGCGGTAGTAGCGGTCTCAGGAGCGGGGTGAGATCAAGCAGTCGAGGGTGAGATCAAGACCTCATTATGGTTCATGGAGGCTAATGCAAGAACCTCAACCCCATTCAGTCATGACAGGGCGATAAGGCTCAACACCAACCCAACCCGGCATTGAGGCCATCAAGTACCCACCAGCCCTAAGGCGGCATTTAACATTTGGGCCACCAAGGCGGTGACAAGGGGTCCCTAAGGCGGTTTGAGCAACAAGCCAGCTAGCGGTTACAAAGGAAGTTACCAAGGCATTTACACTCGATGTCTATAAATAGGAGAAACGAAGACGGGAAAAGGGTTCCACAACCAAACATTTGACACCACATGTCAAACTTATCTTTTCTCTGTAATGTAGCCATAGCTGTAGCTTTTAGTTTTTGGAGCTCTCATTGAACCTCCATAGGAGTAGAGTAACGTAATTTAGCTTGTTCACAAAAAACAATAAAAAACATCAAACACCCTCGTTCGAACATTGTTCGGAGAGGAGTGAACCGTGTTATTATCGTTGTTCAAGAAGTCAAATGTGCAAAATTCAATTCTGTTCATCCAAATTTTCCTCGCCGGAAAACAAGATGTAATGAGAGATTTGGCGTGATTGAGAGAAGCCATAGTGGCTGAAGAAAGGAGGTCGACAACATTGGCGCTAGGGGAGTCCACAGAGAGGAGAAGTCCGAAGCAGCGGGGACGATCGTTAATATATTGTTTATGGGATTGGAAATTTGGATTGGATGGGTTTGGTTTTTGAATTTGATTATTTTAATATATTGTTTGGTGAGATGGCAAGGTGACATGACAATTTTGGATGGAGAGTTGATGGATTTACTAAGTGATCGATTTGTTAAAATTGAATCGTAAGTGACCAATTTGTTAGTTAGCGCAAACGTAAGTGACCTTTATGCTATTAACCCAAAAGGATAGATATACGTTTGTAAGTTGCAACCCTCATGATAAGCATTGTACCCTGAAGAAACAAAATTTTGTTTCTTGCTGCAATCAAGTCTCGCTCGTCGACCCTTGTCCCTTGACAAATTAAACGGATCTCTAGAGAGAATATATGTGATTAGTCAATTTTCTGTTGACTTATGTCCTGCTAAAACAGAGGAGAATTGTATTAAACTTTCAGTAACGTCGAAGATTGGCATTGCCCCACCAGGGAAGTTGGCTATGCGTGCACATGACTTGGTTAGAGTTGTTCTAGTGGAGGTTGTTCTCCACACTTCCACGGGTTTGTCTTAGTGGATGTATATTAATTAAGTTTCGATGATGTTGAGTAGGAAGATGCCCTAACCCAACTTGCCCACTCGACTTTGTGAAGTAGCATTCATTCGAGGTGATCAACCACACTATAGATGACCTTTCAATTTCTTGGTGTTACTGCTGCGCTGTTACGGATCGGGAAATCGTCGGAATCGACAAAGCAAGAAATAACGAAAGTAGAAAGCACACGACACACGATTTGCATGGTTCACTAACACGATGTGTGTTAGATAGTCCACGGACAGGAAAGAGTCAGTTTCACTATATCGAGGAGATTACAGATTACAGAGGATGGAATGATAGTTATTTAGTTAGTTTGACTCTGATGAGATCAAATAATATTAGGGTAAGCTTTCTCCTAGCTAGATTAAAAAAAAATTGCATCATCGCGAATGAAATCTAGATTGTATAATCCTAGCAATAAATCATGCAAGTTCTCTTATATCCACAGATACACCATATTTTTAGGTAATCTCTTCAATATCATCAGCTGCTAAAATCAATCAAATTTTGAGACAATTCCGTAATTCAATTGATCAATCATGTAAATTTCGTCAATCACTTATTATTTAACCAACATAAGATGGCTAGAAAAATATTCTAATCTTACTATGAGATATAATCCTATTTTGTTATATTGATTTAGTTGTGTCACGCTCACACCAACTCCACAGGGATGTCGAGTCTGATGGGTTAGTTAGGAGGAAGTAATTGCAAACCTATCCGACTGGCAAATGCCATGCTACTTGCAGGAATGTTCATGCCCAACATTAAAATTCATCAATTAATTGAGTGATTAGACCGATATTCCTTTATTCATTACTCATGGGCCCAAAATCCTAACTACAATATGCACTTCCAATTTTGGAAACAATATGCATATTTGTCGAAAACAGAATCAACGTGGCTTCTTTATCTTGCTCTTCTCACCATGCGGGCATTGCATGATATTGAAATCAGTACAAACAAAAAAAATGAATGGGAGGTTAAAAATTCGAACTTGAGATATTTGAATGAATTTGATTACAATAATGAAAAAGGGAGGAGACTAAAGACTAATTCAAACTATGCAAAAAATTTAGGGTTGCTTTTTGGATTTGAAAATGAGGGTTTTGGATTTTAAATATCTTTGGATTTATGATGGGTTTATTGCATTAGGGATTTGGAAAAGTACATTGTTTGCTTAGGAGTAGTTTGCTTCATGGATTTAAAAATAAGGGTTTTGTAATTTAAAAAACCAAGAATTTATTAAGAATTTGAGGCACTATGGATTTGTAACAATCCTTTGTTTGTTAAGATGTTTTATCATGGATTTAAAGGTTTGGGATTTAGAACTTAAAGTCCAAAATTATCATACTATCCTTTTCTATTTGCTAGTCATGTATATGTGTGTCCTATTGTGGATTTTGTGGTTTAGTTATATGTTATTATTCATAGTGATCTTAGATTAACGGTTTGAATTATCGACGCTGTAAAATTAAATAATAATATGAGAATGAAAGATAATTACAAAAATATTTGACTGATGACGAGAAGATTGAAATCTACTTTTAGATATAATCAGCCTTTGATGTAGTCAACAATATTAGGCCTATATGAACCAAGTAAAGGAAAAGGGAGAGACAAAATACCAGATCAAAATTTCCAGTCTCCCATTTCCGTACTAAATTGTTTCAAAGATGAAGAGAAGTATCAATATCATCACTTCCACCCATATGATCAAATCTCTTCATCATCTTTTGATCCCCAGGATGATGAACATTACTCATAATATCATATTGCCTAACAACCTTTTCAGCACGATCACTACCATTATTATTTACCTGCAAAAACTTGCCAATATCACAATAGTATTCCAAACTCTTCTTCTTCTTCTCATGACGATGGCGACAATACAATTTTTTTGTCTTATTCCGTTCCCGATCGTGATGATGAGAGTCGTTGCTGTTATGTCTCAACGATAATGATGATGATGACGGTGACGATGAGAACACCAGGGATTGGGACTGACTCGCTCCCGATGACTTGTTAAGAAGACTATCAAATCGTGCGCTTTCAAATCCCAACATCATTGCTTTGGATTTGACCACGACGGACGAGGACGGAGAGGATTTGAATAGATGAGGATGAAGGTGAAGTTTTCTATTACTAGTATGATTGTTAGTAGGCTTCAAGTCCATTATCTTGGACATCTTCTTCTCTTCCCTCATCTCCTTTGCCCTCCGCAACTGTTTGAACCTCTCCTGCAACAACGTAATCGATGACTGGCCAATGCCCGTGGTGGTCGTGCTGCTCTCTAACCTTGCCATGTCGAAGGACTCTTTGAAACACTGCATGAAACAATCGATCGTTTCTTTTGTTGATCTTGTTTAGAGATATTGAGACGAGTGGTGTACAAATGAATTTTTTTCTTTCTCCTCTTCTTACACTATGGTATATATAGTGGGAGAGAGGTTGGGTGGAAAAGAGGGAATCAACATGCAAATGTAGGAAAATGTTGGGAAGAAAAGGGTTGGGGTTCAAAGGAAGTGTCCAAAAAGAAGGCATCGGGAAAGTGGGAAGTAAAGAGCAGAGGGTGGGTTGGAAGAAACTAAAAGAGTCCCCAAAAATGTGAAGAGTGTGATGATATAGGGGATTTTGGGAAGCTAGCTAATGGAAGGGAGTGTTTGGAGGAATCATAGGGTGGCTGTTGCTGCCTTAACAATATCACCTTTGGCCGATTGGATTCTCCTTTTCCGTTTTCAGCAGTTTGGGAGGTATCTTATTTCGAGCAAACAAGCCTTTAATTTCTTGTATGCTATTGTTTGCAAATATTATTAAGCGGTAACAAGAAATTCGATTGCGTATGTACTTGGAAGTTAGTATGTAATCCGGTCATGTTATTCCAAAACTATTATATTGTACATATATAAAAATTAGGTAAATTACTTGTGGTTTATTGCAGAGGTTAATGATATTAGAGGTTATTGATATTAAAAAACACGATATTAATTTCAATTATCAAGGGTCTTGAGACCTATTCCCGAACAATCATGCTCGCTCAATCCAAAAGTGAAATTATCGAAAAAACATTCTGTAAATGAATTGTATATCATCATTCTCAAATTAAATGGTCAAAGGAAATAGCTAACTGGCACGTAGGGTGTATTTAACAGGATTGGAAGGCCGGTGACCAACGATGAAACGATATGTAAAGAGAGTGACTATTAAGAACATAATTTTTTTTATTATAGAAATATATAAATTTTTCGGTAAACTAAGTGGCCGAACATGTATTTTACTATATATATGTTTCAACTTACTGTCTTTTCACCCGGAAAACTCAGATTGAATGTACAAATACATGACTCACGAAACGGTTTGGCCATGTAGTGCGACATGATATGTATTTCTGGGGTTTCATTGTTAGAACTTATCATGGTAGGAAAATATTCTTGATAGACACCAATAAAATTTATAGCCGATTAGCCGTGGGTGTATCATCAACTTTCATGAATTTATCAAGTCTTCACTAATTTCAAAACTGGCTTCAAAAAACATATCTACCGTTGCGATAAATAATTCATATAATATATCAACGATGTTGATGTTTGGCATTTCCAAAGAGATACAATAGAATTGAATTGCAGGATATGTTGAAACTAAAAAGACCGGCAGCCGATTATTAACATTCTGCAGCAAAGAAAAAGAAAGATTCGGTCTTGTCGTGGAGGGAATGGAAAGAAGCGGCGTGCTGAAATCAAAGCTGCAAATGATAGAAGGAATTACCCTAAAATACACAAACAATAATATTGTTTTTTTTTTCTTTCTAATTTGGAATCGAGGGCATGTTGTGTTTGGAAGCTTCGATGGCGGACAAAAACCTCGTTCCAAGAATTCCCCAGAAAGATAGATAGACAGATGGGTTAGTTGGGAACTATTTGGTGGGATTTCGAGGAGATAACTTATTAATTAATTAGATTAAGATGGGTGGAATTCGTTCGGTAATTTAATAGGCATTCATTCGGATTAATTTGGGTCACGTAACAAAACCCAGAAACTACAATCACCGGTCTACCCATCTCTCATATGATCATATGTGGCTAGTTGTATCAAGGGTGGCTACTGGCAAGTCACAGAATTTTGAACGTTTTTGTTTTGTAGGTTTTATCGTTTCGGATTATATATCGAAACCCAGATCTTATAATAATGATTTGTAACATCTAAATCTAAATCTAAAGAATACTTTTTTTAGGGATAAATCTAAAGAATACTTAATAGTAGAGTTTTGTAGCCTTTTTAGCATTTGAAAATTGCTGTGCTCTCCTTAATTCTCGCTGAGGGTATTTTCGTCCAAGTTGACAGCCTAAATAACTGCTCTATGTCGTCGTTTAGTTGGAGTTTGGACGACTATCAATAGTAGCCCTTGGGCCGACGGCCCACATCCATTTTCTTGACGGTGAACTGAAGTTCATCAATTGAGTTGTTTCTAATTTTTTCAGCCCATATTTTCATCCTCCCGGCTCTCTCTCGTCTCCACTCTCCAGTCTCCACTACCCCCAACCCACAGCTAAGCATGCACTCTTTTCTTTTATTATTATTTTTTGATAATCTTTTCTTTATTGTTATTTATTTTCACTTCAGTATATCTAAATCCAATCTAGCTACAATGCATACCATTCAGTTTTTGGCACTTCTCATTTTTACTGCATCTAAATTATACACAAAAGAAAGAACTAATCAGGTATTGTTCTAGGGCCAGAATTTTGACACTTTAACATGTTTATTTTACTTTTGTCAAAAACATGTGCGGGACTACGGGATTTCTAATCTTAATTTTGTTTTTGTTGTACTATGGGCTATTGCTCATGGAGCTACTTACTTATATTAGTTATGATAATTCATCAATATTTTGTCTCATTTAACTTTAGTTTATTTCGATTTTCTTTGGTTACAGGAAAATATAAATTACCAAATAGATTCACGAGCGAGGGGCACAAATTATAAAATGATATAGATATTATTAATTTATCAAGGCACCGTGCGATTGATGTGGAATAGCTAATAAGACAAATTAATAAAAACACACACAATCCTTCCAAAATTCAACTGCCTATGTTACTTACAAGTAATTGCATATTAATAAGTGATATATATATTGTGGATGTTTGCTGCCAATTTTTTTTGTTCTGTTGGCCAACTGGGATAATTTTGTGTTTTCTTTATATAGAATTTTATGTATTTAGTTGTTTGTTTATTTCCATTTTTTGGTTTATGTGTTTGTAGTGACAAGATCATTGTTATTTGTTAACTTTGTTTGCCGGTGGAATCCCCTTGGTGGCCGAATAGGTATAGAATACAAGCAAAAGAGAAAAGGGTTAATACCTTATTTTGGCCTGTTGTTTCAAAAATTAACATCCTGGCCTCAACTATGTAATATATAGACTCAATTAGCCCGACACAGAGTTTAACCGTCAATTTGGATGGTCAACACCATTGACCGTTAGTTAACACGCCATGTCATTACCTCGTCACCCTAAAAATTATTAAAAAAATTCTAATTCTCATTATTTTTCTAATTTTTATTATTTATTATCAAATTAACCAAAAATAAATTATAAAAAACATAAATAAATTTAATTTTTGGGTAATTTGAAAATGATAAATTTTATAAATTAAAAATTATCATATTATTTTATATTTTTAAAATTATCCAAAAAATAAAATATATAATTTATATCATATTTATAAAATACAAAATTTAATTTAATTATTTTTTGGTTAATTTATAAAATTTATCAATTTCAAATATCCCAAAAATTAAAATATAAATGTTATTTTATTTTTTTAAATTTATTTTTTGTTTAATTTGAAAATGATAAATAATAGAAATTAGGAAAATAATTTGAATTTAAATTTTCTTAATGATTTTTAGGCTGACAAGGCGATGACCTGGCGTGTTGACCGTCCAAATTGACGGTCAAACCATGTGTTGGGCCAATTGAGTCTATATGCTGCATTGTTGAGGTTAGGATGTTAATTTCTGAAACCACGTGCCAAAGTTGATTATATAATCATAATTCGGGCCAAAATAAGGTATTAACCCAAGAGAAAAAGTTAAACCCTATTGGGAAACGCTTCGAGGTTGCCAAGAAGCGCAAACCCTTGACCATAGTTATCAACGACTAAAGGAAGATAATGAAAGAGATTAAGTATGACTACAAAATAACATTCATTTTGTTATATTTCAGAGCAAAAAATAAAAAATTAAATTAGACTTTAACATGAGGATAAAGAAGATTATATAATAATGGTGGGAATATAACCGTGTAGAATGATGATAAACATGATGACAGAATTATACTCACACCAACTAACCACTACGATCGAAGGTGTTATATTTCATCACAAAATTTTTCATTCGAAATATTATCGAGAATCAACATAATTTTGCAGATAACACAATTAACTCATTCCTTATGTGATTTTTTCATCTTCAAATTTTGAATTAAAAGGAAGGATGTAAAATATCACAGAATATGGTAATGTGTGGTTGAAAAAATTGTAACTCGAAACATATCGAAAATGTATATGATTTTGCATATCACAAACAACTCGTGCCTTCTGTGCAAACATTTTTAAAATCCAAGTTAAAACGAAGGAGGTACAAGTCGAATAAAAAAAATATGCAAGTTAAAATGTCTTTTAATCTCTGCCAGTAGATCTGAATCCACTTAAAATTAATTGACCAGATCTAGTTAAACACAAAATGATAACTAATAATAAGCATCATATCACAAGCAAAAGTAAAGAAAGTAATATGCCATTAGAAAGCTTGGATCAAACATCAATCTACTTAACATTGAGCTATGCAATACACACTCACACAATCTGTGGATACCCATTTCTCGTTAGTTACAGCAAAGCATGCACTTTCTTCGGGAATTGTACTTCAGTTAGGAATTCACCAGCATACATTCTTCTACACCTCTCCCTCCAAAGCTCACTCACTGTAGTCACAATATCAACCTACCACAATCTGCCATTGGGTTATTGGCCCTGAATTGTGATATGGCTAAACCCAGAGAAGCATCCCAAATTTCACCTGCAAGAGCTTGTGTCCAGAAGCCAGTCTGTCGAATGCTCTTGGAGAATGAGTAGACAAAAAACAAGTGGTCCCTGGCCTCTATAATACAAGAATAACGACGGCATACATTTGTAGTAGATGGATTCCAGAGTTGGATTTTTGTGTTTTGTGTTTTGTTTTTTCTTGCTTCTGAGGCGCACACCTTTTGCTGGCCTTTGCTGTCTGTAGGTACTTCCATTTTATTTCTAATAAATTCACCATTATAAAAAAAAACAATCATCCACTCATCTTGTCCCTGGTAGTACATTAGGACTTCCAAACCAAATTATACCAATTGATTGTCTCATACTTTGGCCTTATAGAGCCTTAATTTTACTAACAATATTATGTCATAATATGAATATATAATTTATTATTAGAATATGAGTTTGAAACTATACAATGATAGAATGGTTTGAATTCTTGTTTTCCCAATTTGGGAAAACTAAGTGGGATTCCGACTTGGTGGTGGCCTCATGACACGCTAAAACACAACACCTAACAATGGCCAAGTGTAACCAATGAAAGGGACTGCAGTATAGTGGCACAAGTAATAAATATCGAATCCACGGGTCTCTAGAGTTACTATTACTCAGCTTCAGTTCATTATCTAGCAAACTAGATTAAGGATTGATTTACTAAACTACTCTACTAAGTACTCTACTAATTACAATTCGGGAACTCACTTAGGTATAATTCTCCCTAGCTCCTCAATTAGGTCCAAGTTGCAATTACCTTTGGTTGATATACTGTTGATTAAACTGCAGAAGATCCTAA